AAAAAAAAAAAAAAAAAAAAAGGAATTAGACTCCTCAATCAGTAGAGTTTGTTCTCACTCATAATTTTTTTAAGCTCTTGATAGTGGATGCTTTTAAAATGCTTTTTAAATGTTTATGGCATGGGTTGTCAAATTTTGTGGCTTCAGGTTTCTTTTACACTCTTAAGCATTATGGAGGACCCCAAAGAGCTTTTGTTATGGGGGCCATATCTTTCTGTATTTACTATATTTGAAATTAAAACGGACAAATTTAAAGCTCAAGAAAATCCAAGCACCCATAACTTCAACTATCAGAGCAATTTCATTCTCACAGATCGTGTAGCCTCTAGAAGAATCCACTGCATGTTTGTGAAAGCATAAAAGCAAAAAAGGCAAACAGCATCTCAGAATTGTTAGGAAAATAAGTTTTGACCTCACAGACTCCTTAAATAGAAATACAGTGACCCTCAAGGATTCCCAGACCTTACTTCAAGAACTGCTAAGCAGACAGTTATTTTGCTTCTATATAATATTTTTTCTGCTACTACTGGGTTAATCTTCTCTTGGCCTGAAGTGGCCAATAGATCTCTGTGGAGAAGAAAACAGGTATTTATTAAGTATATTCTCTGGGCCTGTTCCATCATCTCCCAACTCCCAGTTAACCACCAATCTCATTTCATGTATAGTTATCCATTTCCACTGGCTTGAGGATAGGATCACCTCTCCCTGTGTTCCTGCAGCAGCCTCCCAGCTGATTTGCGGTCCTCCTGGCTTGTCTCAGTCCTTTCTTCACCTGTGGCCAGAGCAACCTGCTTAAAGCCCCAATGCGACCATATTTGACCCTGAACTTTCCTGCAGCCCTTTGGATGAAGTAAAACTTCTTCCACGTGGCCAACAAGGCCCATTTATGACCAGGCTCTACAGACCCCTCATATCATTTGCCTTCTTTCTACTACCCCCACCCTCCACCCCTTAGTATATGCTAAGACTCGTATCTTAGCACTTTTAGTTTGTTGAACACCTGAACATTTGTGCTCTTTCTTACATTCAAACCTGTAAATGTGTTATTTCCACCATCTGGAGCCTCTCAGCTATTCCTGGCCAAGACCTACTGGTCCATCAGATCTCAATGTAGACATTACTTCAATCAAGGAAGACTTCTTTACCACCATACCACCACCACCCCCCTGGTGGGGTTGGTACTCCTCTTATTTATTTGCCCCTGTGATATCTGGCCTTCTCCTTGTCATAGCATTTGTGACACTGCAGGGTAATTGTGTTCTCCTTGGTTGTATCCCCTTACCTGAAAGCATCCTGAGGTAAGGAGACATGTCTGGGATCATTCGCATCCTCTGCCCTTAGGGACAGATGATGGTCTCATGGTACACAGTTGTTGAATGATGAATTAATTAATCAGTCAGCTTTTTTTTTGAGAGTGCTAGGGCGTTATTACAAATGAAATTGACTGCTAGAGAGGCCCTTCTCCACTCTTTATTCTGTACCTTCTTCCCTCCCAAAGACATTTTTCCGGAGGAGGATTAGGGAGGAAGAAATCTGGTGAGCGAAAGGGGGCGCTGCTTTTGCCAAAGTCCTCTGAAACAACCACTGAGTCCTTCTAGATCCAGTTGAGAATCTTCTAGAGGAAGAGGTTTAGCTCTCCTCTTCAGGGGCCTTCATTTCTACATCCTAGGGGGCTTTTGTCTTCTTTTGACCTTTGAGTTGTGGTTCACTAGTCCTGGCAGGCTTGGAGGGGGTTTCCGCTTCTGTGAATGCCTTCTCTTTCTGGGCAAGCTGGATCTGCTGGAGAAGCTTTCTGAGCTTCTTACTCGACAGAGTAATGTTGGCACGTGCACTGGATGCCCGCTTCTTGAGGTGGTGCTGCGTGATAAGCCTTTGGTCTGTCACAGCCCCGACTACCCAATGCCCCAGATGCCACTCCCAGTCCAACACCCACAGGTGCTTGAACAGCTGCTGCTTCAGTTCCGTTTGGGGCCAGTTGATCTTTCCCTGAAGAGTTCCCATAGTCGTGCCACAACGCCAGTTCCTCCATTCAGTCAACTTTTTAAGTATTTCCTTTACAATAAGGGCTTTATGTGCATTATCTCATTTAATCGTCTCAACTTACTTCCATTGCCTAAATACCCCAGCAGCTAAAACACAGTGAAGCTGGAATCTGAATCTTTTTCTTACCATCATATGCTGAGAACAAAGGGATCACCCAAATGGGGACAACTCACAGAGATGAATAAAGTCTAAGGTAAATTTTTGAAGGGAAAAGGCAGGCAAAGAATCATTCTGACAAAGCAGCTGGGTCCTCTTTCAACTTCTAAGTGACATTGCTGGAATATTCCCAACCAGAACGCAGAGTAAAACCACTAAAAATACTTGTTAAGGGAAACCGATCTGTTTCATCCTGAAAGTACTTTCCCAGTTGGCAGTCTTGAAAATGTCTGTGCTCCTGGAGCTTTATAGCCTTACTTTAAAAAAAAAAAAAAAAAAAGTTTGGTTTTTAAAATAAATTCCAAGAGCTCTAGGAACATGAAGGTTACACAGACTTAGTTCACATTTAGTGGAAAGTTCTTATCTTTACAGGTCTCTCTGTCTTCTGACAGTTTCTTATTACATTGATTAAATCCCCTTGGGTTATTTTCTTCCAGTTCAGCCTGTTGGTTTATGCTTATTTTTCCAGAAATAACACAGTAAAATTCTGAAACAGAAAAGGAATTGAAAATAGCGTTTTATTATTTATATTTTTAAAGAGGTATGTTCATAGTAGATGCAGATACACAAACATAGAAAAAAACTTTAATTTCCTGTAATTCTACCACTGTTGTTATTTTAATATACATTCTTCCCATCTGTCTGTCTTGCACATACACACACTGTCTCTCTCTTTCTCTATTTCCCTCTCTTTCTCATGTGTGAATGTATGCATATTTTTAAAAATTTACCAATATGGTATCATGTGGAACTAATTCTTATAAATCGGCCCATTTCATTTTATTGCAAATATCTTTCCCTGTCATTAATCGTGCACCTCTGCTTTTCAAACTTTAATACATGTGCGAATCACTGGGGAACCTGGTGGAAATGCAGACTCTCAGGCCCTCCCCCAGACCTACTACATCAGAAAATGCATCTTAACAAGCTCCAGGTAAAGGTGACAATATTGGTTCCCATACCACATTTTAGTAGCAAAGGTTGAAGCCTTTTTTGAAGATGGCACAGGGTCCCCAGTATTGATGTAGTTAATTTTAAGTAACTAAGCCCCATATGGTCAAACATTGGAGTTATTTCCAATTTCTCAGCTAGGATGAAACACATTCTTACAAATATTGGCATATATCTATCAATCTTTCCTTAGGAGAAAAAGCCCTGTAGATGGTTTGCTGAATCATACATATTTTGAGGGCAATAATTTATTTTTAAGGATTGCAAGATAGCGATTCGTTCTACTTCATAGCACATAAGACTATAAAATGTATCCATAGTACTTCCGTCATATATCTGCATTTTCCCCTACCTGCAGTGAACCAAGACAGAGCTTTGATATATTTTATTATTCTGATCAAAGTGCTGTTATCACTTGAAATGGATTCACCTCTATCTTCAATTCATCTAATTGTATCCACCCTTCAGCACAAGAGTTTTAATATTGCTTCTTCCTGAAAGCCTTCCCTACTAGTCCAACTTACAGTGGGCTCACTTGCTAAATATTTTCACCGTTATTCTTTGGGCCAGTTACCTCAAAACGCACTTTTCTACTTTCTCTTGATACAACTTAAATATATGATTTTGGTCCCTCTCATCTCCTTGACTGGATTATCAGGGACAGAGGGAAGGGATCTTCATTGTGCTTTACCTAAGCCCTCTGCAACCCCTCTCACTCCAAGAAGGTCTGAGTACGATAGAGAAAGCACAGGATTTGGAATCGAAGAACTCGTGTTTGAGGCCCAGCTCTGCCATTAACTGAGGATTCAAGGAATAAGTCATGTAACCTCTCTGAGCCCTAGCTTTATCATCTGTAAAATGGAAGCCATATCTGCACTGCTTACTTAACGAATCACCTAACAAGGTTATTGTGAAAATTAAGATTATAATCCATCATATCATTTCCAAAAATCTAAATAATTCATTGAAAGTCTCAATGTAGAGCTTGTCTCTAAATTTGATATAGATATGCAAGTCAGTCTCTCTCTCTCTGTCTCTCTCTCTGTCTCATAGACACACATTTACACACACAAACACAAAAGAATGTATCTCAAGCTCAGGAACTTAACCCAACAGTATCTGGCAGGAACTAAGCAACATTGTTTTGCTTTCATTGTATTACGTTTATTTACTTTCTTTTAAAAATTATTTTACTTTCTTAATTGGCAAATATAAATGTATATATATGTGCACAACATGAGGTTTTACTATTTATATACTTCATGGAATGGCTAAATCAATGAATTTATTTATTTTCTATTTATCACAAGCAATATTGGTTTTCTAGGTATGGTAGTGATATGACGTTCACTTTTTAAATAAACGTATTTAAATTTCAAAAGGTCAGTCAATTTAAGGTAAAACACGTGGTAAATAGTAACACATAAATTAAGAAAATATGTCAAAATATCATGCTGATGTTATAAAAATGACTGAAGTTTGGGCAACACCTAACCATAGGAAGCCACCGCCAACTGTAATGTAAGATGCAGACTTCGGATGTTATTGTAGCTATTATTATGTAAACTACTGGAAGACCAGTTCTGGGAGCTCTAGATTTAATAGATTCTCAATAAAAATACTCAAATGTATGTTAAAATAGAGCAAAAAGTCAAGTGTCCTGTTCTGTGACAAGTCACCATTGTTAAATTTTGCAGAACTATCCAAAGTATATCCCGAAGATTGTTTGCTTCTGATGAAGTTAGATACAAATGTAGTGAGGGGCTTTATCAGCATAACTAAGATGAGTCAACATAGTTCAAACTGGGAGAAAGTGGTGAATAGATTACTTGCATAGACATTACTCTTCATTATCAAAAACAATAAATATTATAGTAGCACCAAGTGTACAGAGGATACTTTGCTGGCAATTGACTAAAGCCTGCATTCATGAGAAGAACAAAAGGTTTAGTGTCCTTTGAATCATCATGATTAGTTCTATTGTATTAGAACTCAAAGCAAGTTCACAGAGTTTTCCATTTAAGTCTGAAATCTCTCAAAAAAAAGGACTAAATTTTTTTTTTTTCCCATTTATTTATTTTATTGTATTTTAGGTTTTGGGGTACATGTGAAGAACATGCAAAATTGTTGCATAGGAACACACCTGGCAGTGTGATTTGCTGCCTTCCTCCCCATCACCTACATCTGGCATTTCTCCCCCTGCTATCCCCCCCATCTCCCCACCCCCCACCGTCCCTCCCCTATTTCCCCCCAACTGACCCCAGTGTGTAGTGCTCCCCTCCCTTTGTCCATGTGCTCTCATCGTTCAACACCCGCCTATGAGTGAGAACATGCGGTGTTTGATCTTCTGCTCCTCTGTCAGTTTGCTGAGAATGATGGTTTCCAGGTTCATCCATGTCCCCACAAAGGACCCAAACTCATCGTTTTTGATGGCTGCATAATATTCCATGGTGTATATGTGCCACATTTTCCCTATCCAGTCTATCGTCGATGGGCATTTGGGTTGGTTCCAGGTCCTTGCTATTGTAAACAGTGCTGCAATGAACATTCGTGTACACGTGTCCTTATAGTAGAACGATTTGTAATCCTTTGGATATATACCCAGTAATGGGATTGCTGGGTCAAATGGAATTTCTATTTCTATGTCCTTGAGGAATCGCCACACTGTCTTCCACAATGGTTGAACTAATTTACACTCCCACCAACAGTGTAAAAGTGTTCCTACTTCTCCACATCCTCTCCAGCATCTGCTGTCTCCAGATTTTTTAATGTTCGCCATTCTTACCGGCGTGAGATGGTATCTCAATGTAGTTTTGATTTGCATTTCTCTTATGACCAGTGATGATGAACATTTTTTCATATGTTTGTTGGCCTCACGTATGTCTTCTTTTGTAAAGTAAAAGGACTAAATTTTATTAATTCTGTCTTTATATGAAGAAATGAAATCAGTCAGAGAGAGATTAAGTGATTAGTCTAAGATCATGTGGTTATTTATAACCGGAATGAAAAACAAGAGATTCTGACTTTATGTACCTTGTAATTTTGTTATTGTTTTCCATCCAGGGTAGACCTCTGCTAGTCTGGGAGTATTAGATGATTTGACTCAAATGTTCTAGATTCGGATTGTGCCAAAGTGTGATTAAATTAGATGGATTAAAGTAAATTGCAGGATTAATTAAATTAAGTGGGATTAAGATGATGCCAGATATGATTGATTTCAGGATAGTGCAGAGGAATTTTCACCACCACATTCTCCTGTCTTGGTTCTGATTATAAAGAGAAGAGGAATTCAAGAAGGCTCCTTCAAAGAATAAGGGGCCGCAGCTTGGCCTGCTTGTACCAGAAGCTTGGTCAGCATCCTTCAAAGCAGTGCTGTGCTATCTTCAGACCTGCGTCTTTATTTTAGCCCAGTAAGATCTGTTTCAAACTTATGCCCTCCAGAACTGTTAAATAATAAATTCATGTTTCTTTAGGTCTCTTTAGTTTTTAGTAATTTTCCACAGCAGCTATGGGAAACTAATACAACACAGCTCAGAGTTCTTCCACCCAAAGGGCAAGGGAGCTGGAATGTTTATGTGTCAGCTCCTACCTGTCATTGGCTGAGTGCTGTTTGGCATGGTCGTGTGAATTCCTTAGCACTTACTAAAGGTGGGTAGACACTGGCCATTAGAAATCAACCAGAACACATGAAAGTACTAAGACTCTGGAAAAATGGACTGGGCACTAGCAGATTCTGCTACAATATGTCTTTTAACTGCCTCTTCCTTTTTAATCTGTCTTCACAATCATGGTACATGTAGATCATCCCCTTCCATCACTCCACCAGCACCCTCCCTAAACAGAGAGGGCCTTCAGTGGGTTGTTCTCTTTCTCAAAAATCTTCAGCTTTCCCATAAGAAATATTCTTAAATAAGGTGGACCACACTTCAAATAATAAGTTAGGACTCAGTCCTCTGATACTTTAATCTTAGCCCTTGCATTTTTAAGTTTGGGTGTACAGAAGGAACACTGAGTATGCTTGGGTATCTATTTGTGTACAAAGTTCCAGGCTTGGCATACAAACCTTTGGAGTCTTGAAATGTTGATCCCTTAGGTCTGCATTCCTTAGAATAGCAGTAACACCATGAGGAAGTGAGAAAATTGATTTGAAAATGGAGAAGGTTAATTAACGGAAACAAAACTTCAAGACATGTGGTTGTCAATTGACACTAGAGAAGCCAAGCCTGAGAAATTCTGAGTTCTGCACATTTACAGAAAGTCACAGGTATATTTAGATAAATCCAGAATCTAAGGAGATCTAATTGCTGAAATAACTTCAGCCTACCAAAGCAAGGACGTTCTCCCCCTTCCTACTCTGCCTGCCCTAATGGAAAGTGCTTACGGTTTCAGAGCTTTCTGGGGAAGACTTCAAGCTCAAATGACCCCATAAAATTTGTCCACAGTCCTCACATTGATTTTTGCAAGTTCTGCTTACTTTGTGTTTGCTATTGGTCCAAACCATAAAAGGGTGGAGAAAGGAAAAAGAGTGCATACATT